ATGGACCCTTGATCTCCGCTTGTGTCAAGATCACACAGAGAATTCAAAATCCTCTCCAGGCCATAGCATCAGAAGATATCCTGAAAGTGAAAGTGAAAGTGTCAGTCACGTAGCCATGTCTGACTCATTGCAATCCCATGGACTGCAGCCTTCCAGGCTCCTCTGTCCATGGGATTCTCCAGACAAGAATACTGGAGTGGGTTGCCATTTCCTTCTCCAAGAAGCCACCCTGGCCAGTTAAAATAGATTCTGCCTTTGTAGGAAAAAGAGTAACACCTTCAACCAGCCTCTGTCTTTAATGTTTTCCAATTGTCTTTAATGTTTTTCAACTGTCTTTAATGTCTTCCAGTTTTCTTCCAATGTTCAGGTTGGGGCAAGCTGGGTGTGAGGGGAAGGAAGTTTTTATAAGGCAGGGGCAGCATTGGAGTGAGGGACCAACCTGCTCTTCCTTGAGCTGATATGGACTGGATACAGTTTAGAATACTCCACAAGATGGCGGAGAAGAACGTGCACTCATCTTCTCCTGCAAGAACTCCAAAATCACAACTCACTGCTGAACAACCATTGACAGGAGAATGTGTATCCCACCAAAAAAACATACCCCATGTCCAAGGGCAAAGAAGAAGCCCCAGCAAGACAGTAAGAGGGGCGAAATCACATTTAGAATCAAACCCCATACCCGCCAGAGACACTCAAACAAAACGTGCACACCAGGAAACCCCACAGAGACTGAGACAGACCTGCTTTTGAGTGTTTGAGTGTCACCTACGGAGGTACAGGTCCGCAGTGGCCTGCTGCAGGGGTAGAGGCTCTGGGTGCAGCAAACGTGGATGTGGCATAAGTCCCCTTGGAGGAGGTCACCATTAACCCCACCATAGAGCCACCAAAACTTACACAGGACTGAGAAAACAGACTCTTGGAGGGAAAACCTTGTGCACAACAGGACCCAAGAGAAAGGAGCAATGACCCTACAAGAGACCCAGGCTGACCCAGCCCTGACCCAGGCTTGCCTGTGAATGTTCAGGAGTCTCCAGCAGAGGTGTGGGTCGGTGGTGGCCTGCTGCAAGGTTGAGGGCACTGAGTGAGACAATGCTTGTATGGGAGTTTTGGAAGGAGGTCACCAATATCTTCATTGTGAAGTTGCTCACTTGTGTCCAACTCTTTGCGACCCCATGGACTGTAGCCTACCAGGTTCCACCGTCCATGGGATTTTCCAGGTGAGAATACTGGAGTGGGTTGCCATTTCCTTCTCCAGATCTTCCCAATCCAGGGATTAAACCTGGGTCTCCCACCTATAGACAGACGCTTTACCTTCCGAGCCACCAGGGAAGTCTATCTTCATTACCTCCACAATAGTTTGGTCTCAGGTCAAACAACAGTGAGGGAACACAACCCCACCCAACAACAGAAAACTGGATTAAAGTTTTACTGAGCATGGTCCCACCCATCAGAACAAGACCCAGTTTCCTCACAGTCAGTCTCTCCCATCAGGAAGTTTTAATAAGCCTCTTATCCTTATCCTTCAGAGAACAGACGGAATTAAAACTACAATAACAGAAAACTAATCAAACTGATTACATGGACCACAGCCTTGTCTAACTCAATGAAACTATGAGCCATGCCATGAAGGGCCACCCAAGATGGATGGGTCATGGTGGAGAGTTCTGACAAATTTTTGTCCACTGGAGAGGGGAATGGCAAACCACTTCAGTATTCTTGCCTTGAAAACCCCATGAACAGTATGAAAAGGCAAAAAGATATGACACTGAAAGAAGAACTCCCCAGGTCAGTAGGTGCCCAATATGCTACTGAGAAGAGTGGAGAAATAACTCCAGAAAGAATGAAGAGATGGAGCCAAAGCAAAAACAACACCCAGTTGTGGATGTGACTGATGATGGAAGTAAAGTCCAATACTGTAAAGAACAATATTGCATAGGAACCTGGAATGTTAGGTCCATGAGTCAAGGAAAATTGAAAGTGGTCAAACAGGAGATGGCAAGAGGGAACATCAACATTTTAGGAATCAGGGAACTAAAATGGACTAGAATGGGCAAATATAACTCAAATGACCGTTATATCTACTACTGTGGGCAAGAATCCCTTAGAAGAAACAGACTAGCCCTCATAGTCAACAAAAGAGTCCAAAATGCAGTATTTGGGTGCAATCTCAGAAACAACAGGATGATCTCTGTTTCTTTCCAAGGCAAACCATTCAATATCACAGTAATCCAAGTCTATGCCCCAACCAGTACTGCTGAAGAAGAAGTTAAAGTTGAACAGTTCTATAAAGACCTACAAGAAATTCTACAACTAACACCCCAAAAAAGGTGTCCTTTTCATTATAGGGGACTAGAATGCAAAAGTAGGAAGTCAAGAGATACCTGAAGTAACAGGCAAATTTGGCCTTGAAGTTCAAAATGAAACAGGGCAAAGTCTAGCAGAGTTTTGTCAAGAGGATGCACTGGTCACAGAAAACACCCTCTTCCAAAAATACAAGAGAAGAATCTACACATGGACATCACCAGATGATCAATACCAAAATCAGATTGATTATGTTCTCTGCATCCAAAGATGGACAAGCTGTATTCAGTCAGCAAAAACAAGACTGGGAGGTAACTGTGGCTCAGATCAGGAACTCCTTATTGCCAAATTCATACATAAATTGAAGAAAGTAGGGAAAACCACTAGACCTTTCAACCATTCAAGTATGACCTAAATCAAATCCCTTACATTTATGCAGTGGAAGTGATAAATAGATTCAAGGGATTAGATCTGATAGATAGAGTGCCTGAAGAACTATGGATGGAGATTCATGACATTATACAGGAGGCAGTGATCAAGGTCCTGAAGGAAAAGAAATGCAAAAAGGCCAAACGGTTGTCTGAGGAGGCCTTACAAATAGCTGAGAAAAGAAGAGAAGTGAAAAGCAAAGGAGGAAGAAAGATATACTCTTTTGAATGCAGAGTTCCAAAGAATAGAGAGGAGAGATAAAGTCTTCCTCAGTGATCAATGCAAAGAAAAAGAGGAAAACAATAGAATTGGAAAGACTAGAGATCTCTTCAAGAAAATTACAGATATGAAGGGAACATTTCATGCAAAGATGGGCGCAATAAAGGACAGAAATGGCATGGACCTAACAGAAGCAAAAGATGTTAAGAAGAGGTGGCAAGAATACACAGAAGAACCATACAAAAAAGACCCAGATAACCACGATGGTGTGATTAGTCACCTAGAGCCAGACATCCTGGAATACAAACTCAAGTGGGTCTTAGGAAGCATCACTATGAACAAAGCTAGTGGAGGTGATGGAATTCCAGTTGAACTATTTCAAATCCTAAAAGATGATGTTGTGAAAGTATTGCACTCAATATGCCAGAAAATTTGGAAAACTCGGCAGTGGCCACAGGACTCGAAAAGGTCAGTGTGCATTCTAATCTCAAAGAAAGGCAATGCCAAAAATGCTCAAACTACCATACAATTGCAGTGATTTCACATTATAGCAAAGTAATGCTCAAAATTCTCCAAGCCAGGCTTCAACAGTACATGAACCGTGAACTTCCAGATGTTCAAGCTGGATTTAAAACAGGCAGAGGAACCAGAGACCAAATTGCCAACATCTGTTGGATCGTAGAAAGAGAAAGAGAGTTCTAGGAAAAAAATCTACTTCTGCTTGAGAGACTAAACCAAAGCCTTTGACTGTGTGGATCACAACAAATTGAAAATTCTTAAAGAGCTGAGAATACCAGACCACCTTACCCACCTCCTGAGAAATCTGTATGCAGGTCAAGAAGCAACAGTTAGAACTGGACCTGAAACAACAGACTGTTCCAAATCAGGAAATTAGTACATCAAGGCTGTATATTGTCACCCTGTTCATTTTACTCATATGCAGAGTATATCATGCGAAATGCCTGGCTGGCTGAAGTACAAGCTGGAATCAAGATTACAGGGAGAAATATCAATAACCTCAGATACGCAGATGACACCACCATTATGGCAGAAAGTAAAGAAGAACTAAAGAGCCTCTTGATAAAGGTGAAAGAGCAGAGTGAAAAACCTGGCCTAAAATTCAACATTCCAAAAACTGAGATCATGTCATCTAGTCCCATCACCTCACGGAAAATAGTGAGAGTTTTTATTTTCTTGTGCTCCAAAATCACTGCAGATGGTGATGCATCCATGAAATTAAAAGACACTTGCTCCTTGGAAGAAATGCTATGACCAACCTAGACAGCATATTAAAAAGCAGAGATATTACTTTGCCAACAAAGGTCCATCTAGTCAAAGCTGTGGCTTTTCCAGTAGTCATGTATGGATGTGAGAGTTGAACTATAAAGAAAGCTAAGTGCCGAAGAACTGATGCTTTTGAACTGTGGTGTTGGAGAAGACTCTTGAGAGTCCCTTGGACTGCAAGGAGATCCAACCAGTCCATCCTAAAGGAAATCAGTCCTGAATATTCATTGGATGGACTGACTGAAGCTGAAACTCCAAAACTTTGGCCACCTAATGTGAAGAACTGACTCATTGGAAAAGACCCTGATGCTGGGAAAGATTGAAGGCAGGAGGAGAAGGAGACAACAGAGGATGAGATGGCTGGATACCATCACCAACTTAATGAACATGAGCTTGAGAAAGCTCCAGGAGTTGGTGATGGACAGGGAAGCCTGGTGTGCTGCAGTCCATGGGGTCGCAAAGAGTCAAACACAACTGAGTGACTGAACTAAATTTTCTTTAAGGAAACCTCTCTTTTCCATGAGAGGTGGCAACTCCCAGTCAGACTGACCCTAAAACAACCAGCCATCCTGGAATTCACTACCCACAGCAGCTATAAGGCCTTAGCTCCCAGCTGCTGTTTGGGATTCATCACACCTGTCCCCTAAATCTGTGAGTGCAACAAATGGACAGGCCTCACTTTCTGCTTCCTCTGAAAGGAAGGGTGAGCCCAGGTTGTGTGCAAGTAAAATCTGGGCACTCATCACATGGAAGATACTGTGACTCACCATAGTAGCAGTGAATGGGATGTTATCAATCATGGAGGATGTGATGCCTGAGACCCAGACCACCAGGATGATGGCAGCTGTAAGGCGCTGATCTTCTGGGACCATCTGAAAGCAGCAGATAAAAGTAGGGCTGTTTACCATAGCTGTACAGATCACACACACACACACACACACTGAGGGTCTGTTGGTAGGACACGGGGGACTCCGAAGGGACAACAGGGCTCCTGGTCCTTCCTCTTCCACACAGGAGACCAAAGGAGACTCTGGTGTACAAACAGCACCATCTGGACTTTTCCAACTCCTACCAGGAGCCTGGGACAGAGTCTATGAGTAATTCAGAGTAGTGACTCCAAACCATGTTCAAGCCAACCAACCCTTGGGTCAGTGTGGGGTGAGGGGAGTGTGGAAAGCAGAGTGTCCCTGTTTCTGATGTCCTGATGGGACACCAGATGAAACACCAGCCACACTGACCTCACTTCCTGGCAAAAACCTTGGGTTAAGATCTCTGTGCATCACTTACTGAGACTACTGTCTCAATTGCTCTCCTTCCTAGAAAGGCTTCAACTAAAGGCTAATAGAAAAATTGCAAGCATCTGTAATTATATATTCCTTGAAAAAAGTCTCTTTTTCATCTCTAGCCTACATAGGATAAAACAGGTTCCTTGTTAGACTTTTTACATAATGAATGAGATCTATTCTAACTGATAATTTATTTTTTTTTTTTACAAAAATTAAAGGAATGGTGGCTGGAGCACATTATATTGCAGTATTTAATGTACCTTTATTAGCAAAGCAGTCTGTTCTCCGACATATTCTATTAAGTGGAGATGTGCCAGTGCCTAGAAGAAATAAATATATGATGAGAATCAGTTGAAAACTGAGAATATATGCGAATGTTTAAAAACATATCTTTAGAGTGAAAGTAAGTGAACATAGGCTCTCATTGCTTATAAAAGATCAAACACACAGTCTAAATAATTTACTATCATAAGGATACTGAAGATTCTTCAAGATGAGAGCAGAGTATCACTGGCAGGAAGAGCAATTTGTATTAATGTCCATGTTAAATTTATATTTGGGTAGGCCATTCCTTTTTAAGATCACCCTGGGGAAGACCTTCAAGATGGCAGAGTAGTAAGACATGGATATCACCTTGCTCCCCACAAATATGTCAAAAATACATCTGCATGTGGAACACCTCTTACAGAACACCAACTGATAGCTGGTAGAAGACCTCAGACTTTCAACAAGCTTATCTCCACAAAACATGTAGGGCAAAAGAAATAAGAAAAGAGACAAAGGAATCCAGATGGGACCTGTGCCTCTGGGAGGGAGCTATGAAGGAGGAAAAGTTTCTGCATGCTTGGAAACCCTCATGGGCAGGCACATAGGAGAGCTTCAGAGCCTCAGAGGTGAGCACAGCAACAGGTGTGCAGAGGGAAAAGGGAGAGAATTGTGCACAGAGGTCAGTGCTGAGCAGTTCCCACTGGTTTGAGATGCTGTCTGCATGCACATAGGGCAGGTGGGGGCTTGGTGCTGGGGCTCAGGCTTCAGAGGTCAGACCCCATGGAGAGAACTGAGGTTGCCTGCCATGAAGACAGTCTGAGGCGGCTAGTACTACACAGTTGAGGGAGTCAAGGAAAAAGCCTGGGCCTGCCACAAAGGCAAGAGATCATTGTCTCAGGGACCCTCAAACTTCACCAGGTCACAGATGACAGGGCCACACCCCTGCAAGTGCCAGAGGCAGTATAAACGGCAACTTCTGTCTCTGACCCTAGAGGTGAATGTTTCAGCCACTGCCATTGCCACCAAGCTGTGAGCAAGCACAAGTCACTGCCCACACCTTCCAGGGAACTTGTGCAGCTTGGCACTGCCAAGGGACCCGTGACCTGGAGCCAACTCCCCTGGGAGAATGCAGTTTGCCTCTGGCTGTAGCAACTTCCTACAGGCCTCTGCCACCACAGGCACTACCAACATTTCCCAATTGTGTCTGCCCTTTCCCTCCCTCCCCCTGGCCTGAGTGAGCAAGTGAGCCCTGATCAGCCTCAGCCGCTGCTTCTGCCCCCTTTTGTCTGGACAGGGAACAGACAGTGGAGGGCGGCCCACACACAGAGGCTGGGACAACAGCAACGCTGAGCACCAGGAGCTATGTGACCAAACAGGACGAAGGGGATTTGCTCGTGCAGTGCCAAGAGTAGTGGCATGAATCCTTGCCATTGTTTGGTAAACCCTGAATCTGTGGAATATCTCAATAGACAGTGAGGGTCCCCACATTTGAAGCTGTGGAATTCAGGGGGAACTGTGGGCTTTGGAAGCAAGTACAAAGTAGAATAAGGCCAGATCAGAATCTGAGCTGGACCCACAGTGCCCACAGCAGGTCTAGAGACCTTCCTAGAAATATTGGAGGATGTCCTAAGAAGGGAGATTGGCTGGAGCTCATTGTGGGGGCAAGGAAACTTACAGCTGAGGCCACAGGAAAATTGTCTTCTTACTACCACTCTTTCTCTCTCTGTGTATATATGTAATTTTTTTCATTTTTTGTTTTTTATTGTTGATTTTTTAAAGTATTGTTCTTTTAATTTTTACTTTTTATTTACTTTTTCTTTTCTTGCATGTTATTCTTAAATAAATTTATTCTATTCCCCCTATTTCTACTGTACTCTTTCATTTTATTGCACTCTGTCCATGTTTTTATTTTTTCTTTTGTTTTACTTTGTTTTTAATCTTATTTTTACTTTACCTCCTTGTTGTATTGTATGTTTCTTTTGTTTTCTTCTCTGTTTAGTTTTTACATTTTTTTTGTTTGTTTTATTAGTGTATATGTTTATGCTTTATTTTCCTTTTTTCATTATTTTTTTATTTTCCTTTTTTTAAGTTTACTTTCCACATTTGATTTCATCTTGGTTCTGTATTTTTGCTAATTTATCTCTCAGTGTTTGTTTACATTTATGGATTTCTTTATTGGTTCAATTGTTCCCTTCTTTCTTGTTTCCTTTTTTTCCTTTCCTCTTCTTTTTGTGAGTTTGAGTGTGCATTTCTTTGTGCGTTTTTGTTTAGTTTTGCTTTTACTATATTTCTTGGGGTCCTCTCTACCTGTTATTTTCTTGTTTAGTTGATTTTTTTCTTTTTCTTTATCTTCTATGCCAAGTAGTTCGTGGAGCCTTGGTGCTCCAGCAATGGGTTGGACCTGAACTTTTGAGGTGAGAAACCTGAGTGCAGGATGTTGGACCACAAGAGAACTCCTGACCCCGTGGAATGTTAACTAGAGAAAGTTCTTCTAAAGGCCTCATCCCAACAGTAAGACCTGGCTACACCCCACAGCCAGAAAGTTCCAATGCTGGACACCTCATGCCAAACAACTAGAAAAAAGGAACACAACCCCACCCATTAGCAAACAGTATAGCCTGAAGCTATACTAAGCTCAGAGACACCCCCTCCCCTACAGGAAAAAAAAAAAACCACTGGATGCACCACTGCCCATCAGAGGGACCAGATCCAGTTTCACCAATCAGAACATAGGCACCAGTTTCACCCACCAGGATGTCTATTCAAGGCACTGATCCAACCCCACCCACTGAGGGAAGACTCCACAAGTAAGAGAAACTACAATCCTACATCCTGTGGAAAGGAGACCCCAAACACAGGAAGTTAAACAAAATGAGAAGACAGAGAATTAAGAATCCACAAGACCAAACAAACGAAGAGGAAATAGGCTGTCTACCTGAAAAACAATTCAGAGCAATGATAGTAAAAATGATCCAAAATCTCAGAATGGAGGCACAGACAAACAGATTGGATGCATAGATTGAAAAGATACAGGAAATGTTTAACAAGGACCTAGAAATAATGAACAGAAGAAATAATGAACTATCAGCAATGAGCAACACAATAACTGAAATAAAAACTACACTAGAGAAAACTAATAGCAGAATAACTGAAGCAGAAGAATAAATAAGTGAACTGGAAGATAGAATGGTAGAAATAAATGAAGCAGAGTAGAATAAAAATAAAAAGGAAGGACGAGAAGAAATGACAACAGTCTCAGAAAGCACTGAAACAACTTTAAGTGCAACAACATTTGAATTACAGGAGTCCCAGAGAAAGAAGAGAAAAATAAAGGAGATAGAAAATATTTGAGGAGATAATAGTCAAGAACTTGCCTAACATGGGAACAGAAATAGCCACCCAAGTTCAGTAACCCAAAAAGAGTCCCATACAGGCAAACTAAAAGAGAAACACACCAAGACACATATTAAGCACAAACAAAAATTAAGCACAAACACACAAAAATATCAAAAGCAGCAAGGGGAAAGCAACAAATAACATACAAAGGAATCCCCATAAGGTTAACAGCTGACCTTTCAGTGAAAATTTGTAGGCCAGAAGGAAGTGACAGGCTATATTTAAAGTGATGAAAGGAAAAAAAAACCTACAATCAAGATTACACTACAAGGCAAGGATCTTGTTCAGAGTCAATGTACACATTAGCTGTACACATTAGCAAGTTAAGAAAATTCAACACCACCAAACCAGCTTTACAACAGTTGTTAAAGGAACTTCTTTAGGCAGAGAACACAAGAGAAGAAAAAGACCTAAAAAAAAACAACCAAAACAATAAAGTAAATGGTAATAAGATTGGACATATTAATAGTTAAATGTAAATGGATTAAATGCTCCAACAAAAAGACATAGACTGGTTAAATGGATGCAAAAAGCAAGACCTAGATGTATGCTGTCTACAAGAAATTAACTTCAGCCTAGGGACACATACAGACTGGAAGTGAGCCTGGAAAAAGATATTCCATGCAAATGGGAATCAAAAGAAAATTGGAGTACCAAAACTCATATCAGATAAAATAAACTTTAATATAAACATTATTACAAGAGACAAAGAAGAATGCTACATAATGATCAAGGCATCAATCCAAGAATAAGATACAGCAATTATAAATATATGTGCACCCAACATAGGAGCACCTCAATACATAAGGCAAATGCTAACAGTTATGAAAAGGGAAATCAACAGTACCACAGTAATAGTAAGGGACTTTAACACTCCACTCACATCAATGGTCAGATCATCCAGAGGAAAAATTAATAATGAAATGCAAGCCTTAAATGACCCATTAGACCAGATCAACCTATTGATATTTTCAGGACATTCCATCAAAAGAAGCAGAATACACTTTTTTCTCAAGTGCACAGGGAAGATTCTCCAGGATAGATCACATCTTAAGTCACAAATCAAGTCTTCATAAATTTAAGAAAATTGAAATCATATCAAGCATTTTTTTCTGACCACAACACTGTGAGATTAAGTATCAATTAACAGGAAGACAAACACACGACAGCTACCCAATACACTCCTAACGAACCAAGAAGTCACTGAAGAAGTCAAACAGAAAAGAAAACAATATCTAGAAACAAATGACAAGGAAAACATTACAATCTATAACCTATGGGATGAAGCAAAAGCAGTGCTAAGAGGGAAGTTCATAGCAATACAAACCTAACTCAAGGAACAAGAAAAAATCAAGTAAACAACCTTACACTTAAAGCAACTAGAAAAAGAAGAAGAACAACAACAACAAAACCCAAAGTTAGTGGAAGGAAAGAAATCAAAGATCAGAGCAGAAATATATGAAATAAATGAAGAAAAAATAACAAAAATCAATAAAGCTAAAGCCTAGTTCTTTGAGAAGATAAAATTGACAAGCCACTAGTCAGAATCATCAAGAAAAAAAGGATGACACAATCAATAAAATTAGAAGTGAAAAGGGAGAGGTTATAACAGATAATGCAGAAATGAAAAGGATCATAAGAGACTACTACAAGCAAA